CTTCCTTCAGGCTCATGTGCTTGCGTGCCCAAGATCCCAGGAGGAGAATGGAGGAGAATAGATTGCAATGTGGCCATTCTCCCTTGGGGGTGATGTCTCGCTTTCTGTCTCTCTGGCAAGTGTATGGCCCTAGAGCAAAAATCTTTCTTAAAAAACAAAAACAGTTCCTAGCACATGGCAGGAACATACTCATTTTTAAATTAATTTCTACATTCTTAAACTTGAAAAAAGGTTAGGCTACAGAGGTCTTCCTCAGTCCGATTGATAAGTATACTGAAACTACTTCTGTTGTTATGGATTATATCCAGATGCATTGCCAAAAGTAAACTAATACATATAATTAAGAAAGAAAATTTAGGGACCAGCAGATGGCGTAATGGCTATGTTGCTGGACTCCCATGTAGTTGACCGTGGTCCAAGTACCGGACCCGGTGGCTTAAACTGACACCAGGTATGTGTGCGTGTGTGCCCAAGATCCCAAGAGGAGAATGGAGGAGGGATTGCGGGGTGGTCATCCCCCTGGGGAGTGATTTCTTGCTTTCTGTCTTTCTGTCTCTATCTTTCTGATGAGCGTACATGCCGTATATCAAAAACCTCTCAAAAAAAAAAAAAGGAAGAAAATTCATTTGCTAACTCAAAGAAATAGCTGATTTATATCCACACTATCAATTTACCAATGCTTTTTGGGGAAAAAAAATCTGTTTTTATTAAATATTTTGATAAATCTTCACGTCCATGGGCAGAGTTCATCACAAAACATCAGTAACAGCTTAAAGTTACATTTCAAACCAACTGTCCCAAAAATTCAAATTGGTCAAAGTAGAGGGTATCTCCATAGATGTACAGTCATGAATCTATCCAGAAAACTAGAGTCTTGAGACATTGTCTTGAGACTTTTCCTCCCCACATCAAATTGGACTCTGGAGAACTTTTAGTCTTACATTCCAGATCACCTGGTGGTAATATTTCTGATCCAATTCTCGAGTTCAGGCCAAAAGTTTCTTACACAGAACTTAAGAAGTTTGGTCTCCATATATAAACAACCCAGAAATTATGAACACATGCAAAACCAAAAAGAAAAAAAAGGAATAAAAGGGGGAGAAATGAAAACTTGAGAACATTTAAGAAGGCAATGTCTGGAACCAGCAGATGGCATAATATTACATCATTGGACTCCCATAGTCAACTGTGGTACAAGTTCCAGATTTGGCATCTTAAAACTCACACCAGGCACATGTGCATGTGTGCCCCAAATCCCGTGAGGAGAATGTAGGAGAAGGGATTGTGGCATGGCCACCCCCCCGGGAGGGGGTGATATTTTGCTTTCTGTCTCTCCAATGAACGCACACACCTTAGAGTAAAAATCTCTCTTAAAAAAAAAAGGCAATTTCTGAATATTTTGTTAATACCAATTTGAATAACTGTATTTTTACTTTGGCGTACACCAAAACTTATCACATATATAATTTTGAGAATGATTTTCATCCTTTTCACAGGTCTTTCTTCCTTGTTTCCTAGAATTTCATTCAGTTATAGTTGCACTACCATAAACTAAGCATGGAAGAATTTCTTATATGATGCATGTAAGTCACTATTCATAAAGATGTTTCATTTGATTAGTTATACTACCTGCCTCAATTGACAAAAGAATGTTAATGCATATAAATTTTTGGTTTATTTTTTTCATCAACAAGTAATTTTTAATTTTTAATTTTTAATTTTGCTTTTTTGTTGTTAGTTTGTTCTTTTTTTAAAATTTCATTTTCTTTTACACATTCAATCACATTATTTCACTTACAAAGTGAATATTTCAGTATGGGAACATTTCTCCCTAGTCCAGTTGATTAAACTATAAAACAGCTTCAATAGATAATACCATATTTCTTTGTCCCATTAATGTTTTGCATCCGTATTTTTCTTCTAAATGTCCTTCCTCAGGCCCTTCTCTTCCACACACTATAGTTGGAATTTACACCCAAAATCCCATAGCGAACATCATCCTGAATAGAGAAAACTAAAAGCTTTCCCACTAAAAACTGTACAAGACAAGGATGTGCACTTTCTCCACTCCTTTTCAATATAGTACTGGAAGTCCTCGCCAATGCAATCAGAAAAGAGGAAAAAATAAAAGGCATTCATATAGGAAAAGAAGAGGTGAAACTCTCTATTTGCAGATGACATGATTGTATACATAGAAGACCAAATGGTTTCCATGAAAAAATTTCTGGAAGTAATACATGAATACAGAAAAGTTGCACCATACAAAATCAATTTACAGAAATCTATAGCATTTCAATATACAAATAACAGGCAGACAGAGACAGAACTCAAAAAAGTTATTCCATTTACCATAGCCACAAAAAGTATAAGATATTTAGGAATAAATCTAACCAAAGAAGTTAAAGACCTCCACAAGGAAAACTATGAGAAGCTAAAAAAAGAAATTGAAAACTACATAAAAAAGTGGAAGGATATCCCATGTTCCTGGATTGGAAGAATTAATATAATCAAAATGGCAATTCTTCCCAAATTAATATACATATTTAATGCAATGCCAATCAAAGTACCAGACACATTCTTCATGGATCTAGAAAAGACAATCATAAAATTCATCTGGAATCATAAAAGACCCTGTATTGCCAAAGCAATTCTAGACAAGAAGAGTGGAGTGGGCGGCATCTCACTCCCTGATCCAAAAATATATTACAAAGCTGTGGTAATCAAAACAGCATGGTACTGGCACAGAAACAGACACGTGGACCAATGGAACAGGATAGAGTCACCAGAAATAAATTCCCAAACAGTCAATTGATCTTTGACAAGGGGTACCAGTCAATCCAGTGGGAAAA